CTTGACCCACATTTAATCTACGTTTCAGATACTCTGACTTTTAAAATATTTATTTTAAAATACTTATTTCCTTGTTTTAACTTGAGAGACCTTGAACCACATCTAATCTACATTTCAGAAACCCTTTAAAAATATTTAAAAATCATGTTCAGCCCATAGATGGTTAGTGTCAATTACCTGATTTTGTAAGGGGGGGAAAAAGCACTTTACTAACATCAAAATGTAGTTTTCCCATTAATGTGGTAATTAAATCTATTCCGTGAATTTGTTGCCAAGTTTCTGTGTAAGAATCTGATTCTTTTTATTAAAACTATTAGTGAAAATCGAGAGAAGAATATTATCTTACTCTTCCATTTATTGCTAAAGGAGCATAAAGTACTTAAGCATAAATCATTTTCAGAGCAGACCAGTAGGTCTAATAACATTTCATTCTTGGTTTTGCAGACCCCTTTACCAGAAATAGGAAGGCGAGTGAGAGTGAATAAATATCAAAAGTCTGTCGGGTGGAGATACAGCGTGAGTATATCCATTAGTATATTATACTTACTGCACCCAAGTAGTCTTTCCTTTAATTTTCAGCTTTAAATATATCCCTTTGTATTGTGTCATTATCTGTAGAAGGCTACCACTAAATAAGTGTTCTTGCCTGGAAGTCATAACATAGCTATATATTTTAACATATTCACATAGATTCAATATGATAATATTTGAACACTAGCATCTATCAAAGAGCAGGGCCTAGAAGAAATAGTCCCTTGAACAGAAGAATGTTGACTGCAGGTGAGGAATTGAGTAAATCTACAGAGCATAGAGCCCTCTGGCTGGGTGGCAACAAAAGAAGAGAGAATGAGACTAAGAGAAAATTTTGCCTAAAATTGGCCTTGGCAAGGTCCTTTTCACACCTTTTACATGGTGTTCTGGACTGAATGGCTTTTCCCTATCTATGATTCCAACAAACGTTACCATTGTATATGAGCCAAATGAGGACTGTCCTTTTTTTGATTGTAAGAACAATAGCAGACAGAAAACCAACAGACTACCCAGCCTAATTGTCTTTGGACAGCTGGCCCTATATTTGAACACACGAAGGAGTGTGAAGATGTTTTCTATATGCATCTTTTTGACTGCCCTACAAAGCAGTCTCTCTGATCCCAACAGTTCATTACCAACTCTAGAATAAGATCAAGCAAAGAGAATTCTGCGTTTTCAGTAGATGTTGGTGATCTATAAAAGTATTGTGTGGGCCTAAAAGCAGATCCCCTGTTCTTATTGATATAATTCATTGATATATTTTTCCTACTTTTCTACCCTACCCTGCAGTCAACTATATAGGATTCAAACATTTTCAACCTTTTATGCCTTAATAAATATGTTCTCAGACACATTAAAAATAACCCTTTACATTACACATTCAGAAACTTTCTAGTTATTATTAGAAAGATATTGCTAAACAGCTTCATGATTCATGATACTAGGCTCCTGTTGTGTTTATAATGTATCTCAGGAGACAAAGCATGTTCAAAGGAAACACCTACAACAGATAGTGTCATGCTTTGGTAGCTCAAGTAGCCACGGAAGGTAAGGTATGAAAAATGTAATTATTTGATCAATCCTGATTTCATCAAACATTCATGTTAATAAAACTCCTTTAAAGATCTGCCCCAAACGCTGTCTGATGCTTTTTCCATAAAGAAAAGGATTTTGATTGTGGAATTGGTTGAAATTACAAAGGAAGTTCTGGCATCCTTGAGCTGCCTCTTCTTGACAAAAAGCAGGGTATTTGGGCCAGTCTGGGATCAACTGGCCCTGAGCCAGGAAATGATGTAGCATCGTATTACTGGGAGATGTGTGAGAGTTTTAAATTACCCACTTGGCCTGATGGATATAATGTACTTATGTGTTTCTCACAAGCTCAGCTTCCTGTTAATTGAGAGTGGCAAACACACTAATGCTTTCCAAACATATCTGATCTTCATTTATTTGTTTTGGGGGAGTTTACATTTATGTGGGAAACCCACTCTTAGAAGTTTTTTCTAGTCAAAGATTTTGAATTCTCTGATTATGTATTTTAGTAAGAAAAATAACTGCTAGCTAATCATCCAGTTAGCATCTCTAAATCATCTTGAATCCTTTGGGATAAAAAGTATGTGACTTGTACACATATCTCTTAGATGCCAGGGCAGGGGTCTACAGAAATAGCAATAATGTGGAAGTCCTGAAACATGAGTTCAAATCCCAAGTCTACCACTAAATAGCCAAAAAGTACTTGGGAAAGTGGTCTTCTTGCCTCTCTAAGCCTCAGGTACCTCATAGGCAAAGTAACATCACAATTGCAACTACAGAGTTGCCTAGCACCCAGCCAGACGCTCTCCCGATCTTGCTTGGAGACAAGTTTTCTAACAACATGGAAAGAGAAAGAAGCTCCTTGACATCAAGCTGCCAAACAGGTGAAAGGACTCAGTCTTCCTGGTGCCTCTTTTTAACTTGTTCTTTGCATTCTTAACCTCACATCATCATCTCTTCCCTATTTATTGTACCATTTATGAGTTCATATTCCTCTCAGCAGAACCTTGCTATCTTAATAGAAACTGAGAGTGCCTATGTGTGTACAGAATCCCTAGTCCCTGTGGTTTATTTCTGTGTGGTGTCAGATATTGTTAGCATTTCAAAGGAGGGCTACGTCATAGGGGAATCAGAAAGTTTAAGGATTTTACATGACAAGAATGAAAGCCACAGGATCAACTTTTAGATTTCTAGAAAACAGGATAAGGGAATTTGAAGGAAACTTGCTAACTGATCTTCGTTGGGAGGCTGGGATGAGACTGTGGGAGCTTCCATGCAATTCTCATGCTACAAGTTGATTATTTTATTCGTTCATGCTTTTATTACACAATAAATAGAAAGAGGGAACCTGGCATTGAGGTTTTCAACTGGACAAATCAGGCTCCATCCCTTTCTCCCATAAGACAAATAGGTTTCTAGAGATTTATTTTCTAGTAGTTGAATGTTTATAGGTAAATCCACTGGAAAATCCTGGGGAAATACTAAAGAATGTTCTGCAGCTGCCAGCCATTTCTCTGAGATTTCAAACTTTTTTTATTTCAAAATATAAATACTGGGCATTTTAGGGAACAAACGGTAATTTACAAGCAAAAACCAAATCGGTTTGGAGACACTACTGAGCCTAGTGCATTGCCTTATATTTACTTCATAAGTATTTTTAAAGCCTAGCCACAATATAGCTAAATTAGCTAAATACAAAACGTAGTTGTCTGTGTTTTCTGCTGGATCTTCGAGAATAAGCTAAGAAGGACAGTGATAACTGAGTAGATCTATTTACTTACCTATTCATTTTAACGAGGAGATTTATTTCCCTGTATCCCCAGGTCATTAAGTCAGAGTAGTTGAGGAAAATGCTGGGGAGAACTAAAGATAATTGGCAATTAACCCTTTAATTGCTTTCATGTCAATTAGCCTTTTCCTAATTCATTGCCCAAAAGAAGTCAAACGTATCCTTTTTCACTGAATTTCAGAACAGGAAATCTTTGTATTTTTAATTCAAACTTCTTCCTTTCTTTCAAGTCTACAAATATATTTCACTTTGGACAATAAGAATATTTTTAAAAAGTTTTTATAGATTGAACTTTATAGATGCCATAGGAGAGATTTTTTTTTAGATTTACAATTAAATAAAATCTAAAGCTGGTAGGAATTCAAAGGAGTCCAGCAGTGAATCCAGTTCTCAAGTGCCGAATCACTTCCTGAGTCATCTCACAGCACCTTCGACTTCATTATGCACTATTTTGTATTCATCACTGGTTATCTCATTCATGTATGTTACTCTTATTTGCCTATAAGTTCCTTTAAGTTAGGACCGTAACACCAAAATGCACAAATCAATGCTATGTTCATTGAAAATTCCCAACAATTCAAGTTACGTTTTTGTAAGTTAATATTTTAAGATGTTTTTCTTTAGTGAATTGGATCTGTATACGCTAAAGCCTGATTTTTAAAAAAAAAATCACTAAGAAGTGAAGAGCTTTTTCTAGATTGGCTGAGAAATAAGAGTTACAGAAGGATTATCAAAATCACTTGGTTGTCATGGTACACGCAGACATACCCGAAGCTTAAGGAGAGAGAATCACTTCCCATTTCACTCCACTACTACAAATGTTCTGGGAATGAAGGGGGCTGATGTCTGTAGATTAGGTAAACAGTGGAGAGAGATATATAGTTCTGATAGCACTCTGACTAATTCAAATAAGAAGTCAAGTAATGAAGACACTTTGTGATAATACCTTGCATTTATAGCATTTTTCTACCAAGGATTTCAGAGAACTTTATGTATATTATCCCATTTAACCCCACTAATGTTTCATGCAGATAGGTAATGGCTGCTGTCTTCCATCATTTTTTTCAAAGTAAATTGAATCTTAGGAAGATTAAGTGAATTTCCTACTCTGAGTTATCTGTGCTAAAACCTAGGTGTCCTAATGCACAGGATAGGTGCTTTTTTCTGACTAGCACCACACTGTCTTCTGCTAGAGCTATCTCTTGAAACTATGTATTGTACCTCAGTGATCTCATCCAATCAGATGGTTCCAATTATCACTATATAGATAATTCTCAAAAACAATACATCTAGACATGACTTGTCCTCTAAGCACCAGACTCATATCTCCATACTGTGCAATCTTATGCAGCCATATAAAGGATGTGAATTTGTTTATTAATATAGAAAGATGCACTTTATATATTGATTAAAGCATGAAAGTTGCAGATTAGCAAGAATAATATGACCTTGTTTGGATTTTTTAAAATGCCATCTCTCTTGTGCTCTCTCTCTCTCTCTCTCTCTCTCGATATACATATATATATATGTTGATCATATCTTTATCTCTGTCATCTCTCTGGCTACTACATTAGCATTTACAAATGTCTGAAAGAATATACACTAAACTATTAACATTGGTTGGGGAACATGTTCAGTGAGAGTAGACCACTTACATATTTTATATCATATACTTATATATACTTTATATGTGTGTACCACTGTTGTGATTAGTAAAATAAGTGATTTTAAATGTATCTTTTAAAAAGATCAATATTGCTGATTGATTAGAGTTGGGTTGTGTTTGGCAAAATTGGGGAATGGGGATGATAGCTGAAGGATATGGGATTTCATTTTGGAGTGATAAAAATGTTCTAAAATTGATTGTGGTGGTGATTGTACAATTCTGTAAACATACTAAAAACAATTTCATTTTACACTTTAAATGGGTGAATTGTATGGTATGTGAATTATACCTCAATAAAACTGGTAGAAAACAAACAAAAATGTAATGACTCCATCCAGTGAAAACTTTATACAGTGGCCAGGGCTGCTTGTCTAGGGATCACACTTTGAGAATCACACTGAATGAAAAGATCTTCACTTTACCCTTTTTTCACCCAAATTCCCAGTTAATGAGAGATCTTCATTCATTGACAATTCCAGTTGCGATTTTATTGTAAATTGCTGTGGGATATAATGAGTTACCATAGAATTCTCTTTTGTTGATCTACTATAGCTTAGGGACCCCGTTGTCATTGAATCGCACAGCTTAGGAGCTTTGCTGTCTGTTCTTATTCCACAGGATGAAGAAGAAGATCTCAGGACTGAACTCAACCTTCTGAGGAAGTACTCTTTCCACAAAAACATTGTGTCCTTCTATGGTGCATTCTTCAAGCTGAGTCCCCCTGGCCAGAGACACCAACTTTGGGTATGTTTCTAATTACCCTGATCTTATTCTTTAAGAGTAAGTCTTACCCAAGGACATATGTTTTCATGAGCTGTCACTTTTGTAAACCTACAGGAAAACATAAGCACCCAACAGCTCAAGGTAGTAGGGCAAAATGTACTCTGTGAGACCCTGTATCAAAGATAAAGTACTCTGATTCCTGGAGATGGGAGTGATAAAAAATGGAAAAATAACTTAAGTGTCTTATTAGTGTGATGGGGGAGGACTCCAATGAACAGTGGAAATCTGGAAATATCTAACATAAATTTTTTCAAATATGGCTTTGTTGCTTTTAATTTTATGTAATTACCACTGTTGCTGGTATAGCAACTACCTGATGGAATAGTAAATAATGACTGGATAAAGATTAATTATAATTAGCACTTGACATGAGCATATGGGTGCATTTTAAGTGTTTCAAAAATACATGCATTTATAAACATGACTCCTAGAAACTCTTTTCTAAATGGTTAATTGACTTACCCTTTTCTTGTCATGCTGAAAGTATCACAAATTCCAGATCAACGAGACATAAATTTTAGAGGCTAACTGGAACCTATGTTACCTAAGATACAGTTACCAGAATTTTTGCTGCCCTCCACTATAAGAGAAATAGTTAAATCCCAAGGAAATGAGCTTTGGTCAAGGATGTGTTTATTAAAAAATGAATATTTAGAACATAAGCTCGGGTCAGTATACACTTAATTTCTACACTTTCTACATTTCCATTCCAGTCCAAGTTAATAATAGTATTGTTTCAAAATAATGACTGAAAATTTCAGGATCTTCAAGTATCAATGAAAGATGCTGTTACATTGTATATAAAGGACTTGAGGAAGTAGGAGAGTGGACATTATAGAAAGGTTTTCAACAAGGGGTTGAATTGAAACAGCGGTTTTTAAACTTCAGCGTGCATTAGAATCTCCTGGAGAGCCTGATAAAACACAGATTACTGGGCACTACTCAAAGAGTTTCTGATTCAGTATGTCTGGGATGTGGATACAAGAATTTGTACTTTCTGCTAAGTTCACAGGTGATGCTGTTGCTGCTGGGTTGAGTATCATACTTTGAGAACAACCAAATTTAGAGATCTTCAACTTAACCCTATTTTATCCCAAATGACTGGTTAACTTGCATCCTTTATTCTCTGAGAATTTCAGTTGAGATTTTATTAAATATTACTTCACAACTTAGTTACTATTTTTTTTGGCATACATCATTTGTCTTTTTCATGTATTTTCACTTACAAATCTGTTTTCCTCTTGACAGTATGGTAAATTATGAGAAATGATGCAGTCTTCATATTGAATATATATTAGTAGTACTCAATTCAGTCATTCAACATATATTAATCGAAAACCATCTATTTGCCAGGCATTCTGCTAGGTGCTGGGCATACAATTGTAAGTCAAATAGACATGCATCTGGCCCATTGGAGCTTACTGTCTATTTGGAAGGACCAACATCAATCAAATAATCACGCAAATGAATGTGTAATTGGTCACAAGGGAAATAACATGGCTCTATCTGGGTAGATAACAAAGGAACCTAAAGTAAGCTGGGAAATAAGAAACTCCTCCTTGAGGAAGTTAAAGATTAAACCGAGATCTGAAGGATGAATAGGCATTTAATGCATAAATTATTTGTGGAGAAGATAAGAGTTTTCATGGGACCATTCGCACTTTCTTGCCCATGTACATAAGAAAAAAAAATAAGAAGTAAGTAAATAGCTAAATAATTATCATTTATGAAGTGTATGTACTGGGCACTGTGCTTGCAAAGCTAGGAAAATGAGAATTACTTAAATTCCTTTTGTAGTTGAGCTCTTCTGACTTACATAATATTAGTAAGATCTTTCAGGGTTATCTTAGTTGAATGGCTTTAATTCAGGTGTGTCATGGTTCAAAATGAGCCTCTTTACTTCCATTACCACAGTGTAGATGTTGTGCCCATTCAATATAGTCAGTGCTTAATTCTCTGCATGAAAATCAACCTTTTGGAGTTTATCTGTATTGTAGTTTTGTTTGGCTGCCTCTTCTTTTTGGTGAGAGCATACTCAAGAGAAAGATATGCAATAATATCAGTGGGTGAACAGCTATAAATTATAGGGGAGTAGTTTTCTAAAAAGAAAACCTTAATATTCCAAAAGGAGATAAGGTAGACTTTTTGAATACTCATGATTTTGGCCTTATCCTTTTGCTTCCATTCATCTGTGTTGATAATTCACTTGCCTAGAGTTTTTAAAAATAGTTTTCCTCTTTTGATAAAGTGGTTTTGACGTGGGCAATAATGCATAAACCTGCACTTAAAGAAAAGTTTGCTAGAATGAGTATAACAGTTATATTCTTCTTTACGTGGGTCTGTCCTCTAGTTAGCTAATATTATGTGGAAGGAAATTTACTAGTTTGGCACTTAATTCATAGGTGGCAAAAATAAACTTCCTGAGAAATTGAGTTTATTAATATAGTAAAGTCTGAATGAAATACTGTCAAAGATATTAGCCTTAAAATATGTTTTCCTTAGCAGCAACCCCATTTGGAAGAAATTATCCCATAGATATGCAATTCACAAATTTCCCCCTTGGAGTTGTAGTTTGCCAGTATCTTGGGGAAAATCATCTGGAATTTGAAAATAAAAACAAAACAACAAAAACCAAACCTAGTCTTAACGTTGAAATGTAAAGTCCTTTGAGACCCTCCATATCCTGCTTCTCCAGCCCCAATCAAACTGTTCCCTCAACTATCCTTTCCTTGCTACTCCAGTCATCACTCAGGCTTATTTCCTGCACAAGCTTCTTTCTAAGGGCATGCCTTCATTCTGTTTTCCACAAAGTGAATGTTATTCCTTCAAAGCATATCCAAACACTACCTATCCTTCAAGGCTTAGCTCAAATCCCACCTCCTAGTTAAATATCCCTGGTGTGGTACCTGGCTTCTCTCCCTCCACAAATCTTTGGGTTTTATCCAACTCTTTCTAATTCCTGTAGCCTTTGGAGTCTTCCACCAGATAATTGAGCCAGTTTTTGCAGTGCCTTAATCTCTACACATTACATATAAATACAAGCCATATGGACTAAAACTCTCTAGATATTTTCAGAGAATTACTTTCTAATTATTGATATTTTTCTGGCTTCCCTGCAGATGGTGATGGAGTTGTGTGCAGCAGGCTCAGTCACTGATGTAGTGAGAATGACCAGAAATCAGAGTTTAAAAGAAGACTGGATTGCTTATATCTGCCGAGAAATCCTTGAGGTGAGTCTTCATATAGTCATTCTCCCCAATCTTGAAAGAACCTGTACAATGTACCTTATACCTGCTCATATCTGACTGTTTGGGAATTCTAAATTCTAAACATAACCCCTGGATCAGGATACCTAAAAAGGACAAGAAACTTTGGAGAAAGATTTTCAGGAGATGTCCTTAAACTTTAACGTAACCACAAGCTGGGTAACCAAGACCTTTCAAATCATGGCCTTCAATGGCTCTGTCAAGTTCAGACTACTGTGTTCAATGGATCATGGAAATGACCACTTGGATTATTTATTATGTTATTATGGTTTTTAGAGTTCTTTAAAACAACCACATAGTGCTATCCTCATAGGTTACGATGAAGATGAGCCAGGAGAAGTCAGTGTTCTACAGAATGGCCCCAAACCATTTGCAGCCTTTTTACAGACAGACATCCTCTTTTAATACTGTCCCACTTTTTAAATTTTCTTTATTTCCTCCACCCAATTGGATGAGAGCAACAATCTTATTGATCTCCCAAACTCAATTTTTTTGTGTATGGCTTAAGTGCTTATTAACAAAAGGATATTAACAGAACTGAACAGCACCACTCATACAACGTTAGAATGTCCTTCCCTCCATTTTGGTTAGATTCACTTATGATAATAGCATAAATGGTCAAGAGTGAAAACTCTGGACTGAGTTTAAATTCTGGCTCACCATGTATTAGTTGTGTGACCTTGGTCCAGTTACTTAATTTTTCCAAGTTTTACTTTTCTCATCTATAAAATGGGGTGATATTAACATCTTCCTCAAAGGGTCGCTGTGAGAAATTCATAATTTACTCCATGTAAAGCACTCAGCACAGTGCCTAGCAAGGAATAAGGGCTCAATAAATGTTAGCTGTTTTGTTGTTACTGCAATTACAGATCCCCAGTTAGTGTTTGGAGTAATCTCACTGCAGCCTAACATTGCATACCATGTCATGGTTTAGCCAGGTCACAAGTTAGTTTCAGTGGTGAATGAGCTGTAGCCAATGTGGTAAGCCAACACAAATTGCAAATGCTTTAAAATGCATTTCCATAGTCCTCCAAATTCTCAGCCTACAAGGCTGATTAGAAGATATTTTGGACTAAACAAGTAGTTGGATGAATAATAGAGCAAAACAATGGCTGAGCTATGATATTTAAGATGTCCAGGTCCTTACTCTTATGGTTAGTTGGAAATATGGAGGCTAGAAAGGAAGGTAAAGTGGCCCAATGTATACAAACATTACCTTTTGGTGTTTTTTTTCTTTCATGGGTGTCCTGATTTATTTTCCTTCTCTTAGAGCCAAAAGTCATATTTCTGGGAACTGGTTATAGTAATTCCAGCCTAAAGGAAGAATTTTGTCTGAAAAATCAAATTTAGGCCGTTTCTCTTACCAAAAGTCTTTCCAAAAATACTAAGAACGGTACCAGAGAAGAGGAATAAAAAACATATACTGATGT